GGTTCAAGGGGACTGGCAGGGAAGCTCCAGGAAAGGGGCTTAGAAATGCCTTCTCCAGAAACAGTCTTAAAGCCAGATCCCTAAGTAGTGGGTGGGGGCAAAGGTTTGAGGTTTTCCTTGTGACCAAAATCCCACAATGTTTTCCTTAGAAAAGGGGGAACTGAGGGGATGCATCTATGTTCTTAACGGTTAAATAGTTTCCCACCTTGCTCTGACAAATGAAAGTTTGTCTAGTCAAGTCTAGTTTGACTTGTGTCCAAGCTTGTGGATGAGGCTGGCAGTTCTTGTTTTCACCAAGCTAATTTGCAGCTGACTCCACAGCCTTTCACCCGCTTGCTCCTATGAGCTCTCATGTGGCCTAATTGGAAGAGGCCCAGCAGGGGCTGTTCCAGTCTGCAGGACTCCCCACTCCCCCACTTGAGGTGGGATGGTGAGGCAGCATTTGTGCAGACATGCCACTATACCGTCTCCTGAAATACTGTTTTTCTCTTGCAGACCCAGCACTCTGTGTCTATTCAGCAGCCACAAGACAGATGCCAGATGTGCAGCTGCTGGTGAGTGACCGTTTTGGTCCAAAATAGGTGGCCAGGGGTGTTAAGCTGTATGGTTTAGGTCCCTGCTGCTAGTGTTAAGGTGATAGCTTGGTGTTCTCTGCTATGATAGGCCTTCAGCCTACTGAATGCCCAGGATCCCTTTACTCAGCAAGGGAACAGATGAGAGGACCTCTGAGCTAGGGACAGACATTCAAAAACCTGAGCCTGAATTGATTCAATTTTAACCTAGTTTAACCTGGCTAGGCTAAACCAGTTTGTAATCACACAGCCATTCCCTCTGAACTGCAGGCATATGCTTGTAGTGACTCAGGCTAGAAGCCGGGGGTGGGTATGCTAGAGTAGCCCTCCCTTCCCTTTCACAGTGCTGATTTGAGGGGGGGGGGTGTGGCCAGGCCCTGGCAGGATGCTCTGATTAGGGAGAGATGCCCACCTCTGATTAGGGAGAGGTGCCCCTCCTGTTGATAACAGAGCATTGACTTACACAGCAGGGAGTTACACAGGGAGTTCATAACAGCATTTATCAGCCCATCAAACAAAACAACAGCCTCTCTTATTATTTCAAGCATTTCTTAAACAACTTTTTCCAAGGAAGGAATGGATGGACATTACCAGCTACCTGTTGATTAGCTCCAAAAATCCCTAAGCCTAGACAGTCCTGTCTGACTTTGTCCGGTCTCCCACAGCACAGATCGTAGCCAGCACATGGTCTGCTAGCTAATGCTGAGAGGTGTCTGCGTAAGGCATGGGGGATGGGGGAGTGGTGAGGGGGAGGGAGGAGCAGGAGGAAGCCAGGGAGACATCACTGTACCTGCAGTCTCTGCTGGAGCTGCAGCCAGGGAGCAAAGGGGAGGGACCAGTTCTGCTGGGCTGGAGCAGAGAGCAGAGAGTCCTGCCCAAGGTTGCAAAGCAACTGGGATGCTGGTGGAGTCTCATTTAACTTAAACCAGGAAGGGATCTGGGACAGACATTGCATAAACTGGTTTGAGCCAAATCAGTTAAGTCTGACACTACATTCAACCAGGTTTATCTCAAACCGGTTTCAGCCATTTTCAGACCCTAGGCGTGTGATGTGCTAGCTAATGCTGAGAAGTGTCTGTGTGTGTGTGTCTCCAATTTCATTGGGACAGGCAGGAAGACAGAACAGGGCTGTTGGAGCTAATCAACAGGTCACCCCCGGAAGCTTTTTAAGAAGAGTTTGAAGTAATATGAGAGAGGCTGTTTTGCTAATTGGGTGATAAAGACTCTTACCAGCTCTGGGCTACCTTGCTCGCCTATCAGTTTGCTGCAGACAGTCTGACAAGTAGGGAGGGAGATTGAAAAGCTTTGTATCATCAATAGATGCATGCACTGCACACCCCCCTCCCCCTTGCCTCAGAGTGCTAGCAAGGGTCTGGGGGCTGTCTATTCTCCCGCCCCTTGAGCAGCCAGCAGGGAAAAGCCTGGGATGGTGCAGGCAGACCTCCCTGATGAGAAAGTCCTGCAGGGGCCTGGCCACGCTCCCCTCAGCTCAACTCTGTGCAAGAGAAGGGAGGGCTGCTCTAGTGCCTCCTGGCTTCTAGTTTGAGCCACTGCAGGCACATGCCTGGATTTCCTCAGTCCAGAGAGAATGTCTGTCAAATTTCTAGCTGGTCAACCTAGTTAGGTTAGACTAACCTGCAAAGGTTTAATCAATTCAGGCTCAGGCTTTTTGAATGTCTGTCCCTAGCCTTCAACACTACCAAAGGAATCAGAATCTGGCCCTCTGTCCAGGAATCTGTGGACACATCTACGCTGCCCCCATGCTGTGCCCACAAGCACTGCCATGAAGCAAGCTCACCTCACTCCATTTTTACCTGCTCCCAGAAATGAAGCAGTGCAGCAGGGCTGAGCACATGCCAATAAACATGGCTGAGAGGCTGTGAACAGGGCTGATCTTTGTGCTAAGGGCCTCTGTACGGTGGCTACTTTGCCTCACATTTGGGATCTGGTGCTGTGAGAGTGGGAATGTGCGGGCCAGACATGCTTCATGATGCACCTCCACTCATGGCACAATGGAAGTGAGGACATGTGATCTAAGATGACAGTCACTCCAATGCAGCTCTGACTTACCTGTCTGTACTTAACCATTCTTCTGCTGTTTCTGATCCATCCAAATGCCCCTCATGGCTTTGGATGGTGGGAAAATCTTTGTTTTTCCTTTGTGCAACCTGTCCACCTGTGCAAACTCAGCAAAACCCATCAGTGCCTGAGACTGGCATATACGCTGTGAATACATTGCTGGGCTTTGGGTTTCATTCCTCTCCCTCCCCAACCCATCTTCTCTTTGTGGACACACACACACACAGAAGGAGAGGGCAAAGGCTAAAACCTCAGAAGGGCTGCTTACAGCTTCATCAATATTTCATGATTAAGAAGGTGACAGAATTCTGCTTTATTTAATAAGAATATTCCCCAGGTAGTTCCTGCTGGCCAGGCCTGCTCCTGTAATTACAAACTGTTTGTGCATTAGCTCAGCCGCTTCACCTAATTGTCTCCCCCTCAACTGTTTTAAATTAGAGGGGAGACTTTCATCTTGGTAGAAACCATGTTTTTCCTGGAAGCTCAGTAAAAGCTGTGTCTTTAATAGCAAGGTAAAAAAGGAAGAATGCTGAAGTGACTGAAGGCCTAAAAAATAAAGTAGGTGAATTTCAGCTTTTCTCAGAACAACCCATTCTCAAGAGACAAATGAATGTCATGCTGCAATGGTTAAAACAGCAAGTAAGGCTCTCTAAATTAGGAATCATAATCTCTCAGTAGGAGGCATCAGTAGCAGGTTAGCCAGGAGCAGAGCCCTACAAGTCAAGGCTGTCCAACTTGGCTGCACCCAGAGGCCACATGTGACATGAGGGTCTGGCCCCTGGGCCACACACCATGCAGTCCATGTGCTGTGGGGATGCACTGCTGGGGCATGCAGTCCCCCACCCCTTGATAGTGGCACACAAACCCCATGCTGCAGTGGGAGAAGTAGATGCTGGGCTCTGTGGGCCACATGCTGCCCTTTTGCTGTGACAGATCCAGTGCTGGCTTGCCTCCTTTTGCAGAAGAACCTGGGGGGGAAGGGGTTGGATGGGGAAAGGGGTTATGAGGAGGAGCAGGGACAGTACTGCTAAAAGTAGAAAGGAATTCTTGGGTAAGCAGCACACTGTGTCCAGCCTCTGCTCATCATTGGTTGATGATTTCAGAACTTCCTGCCCTGTTTCAGTCCACTTCAACCAAGGAGAAGAGTGACCAAGGTAGTCCTGAGCCCTAGTGACACTGCTTTGACCCAGGGGATCAACTACAACACAGAGGCAAGGTGGGGTTGCCATTGCCCTTGCCATGCTAGCCTTAGGGGGAGTAATCTGAAGGGGCTAATTCCTGTAGTCTTAGTGCCACCATGTGGACTCAGCCCCAAGGAGTTTACAATCATAGGTCTAAATCCTGTGGCCACTTACTGCCAGGAACTGCACTTTCTTCTTTGAATAGATGGACTCTAGTACCACTCCTTGTTACTGGCAGTCGTGTTTGCAGAACTGGACCCCTTGTGTATGTGCAACATGTTAACAATAAAAGTCAAGAATGGAGGGATGAGGCAGCACAAGGCCTCTTGGAGTATTGTGCCTGCAGTGTAAAGGCACCCTTTGTGCATTTACTTCCCAGGTCTTGATGCACCCTTGGAAAGCAGAGTGATTGTTTCTCATTTCTGTTTTTCTTTTGATTGCATGAGGCCTTGAGGAGAGAGATGAGCTGGGAACTGGTGGGGTGAAATGGAGTCAGCAAGGTAGAGAAGCTAATGAACAGAAGTCAAGACCACTATATTTTCAGGTTAAAATGCCAGGACTCTTGTGCATGTAGGTATTATAGATTGTAAGAGAATCACCAAAAACAGATGAAAATAATTTCCTAAACCAGTAGTTGGTAATGTTGTCCAGCAGTGGGCTGGAATGACCCCACTTGGGTTCAAGGGGACTGGCAGGGAAGCTCCAGGAAAGGGGCTTAGAAATGCCTTCTCCAGAAACAGTCTTAAAGCCAGATCCCTAAGTAGTGGGTGGGGGCAAAGGTTTGAGGTTTTCCTTGTGACCAAAATCCCACAATGTTTTCCTTAGAAAAGGGGGAACTGAGGGGATGCATCTATGTTCTTAACGGTTAAATAGTTTCCCACCTTGCTCTGACAAATGAAAGTTTGTCTAGTCAAGTCTAGTTTGACTTGTGTCCAAGCTTGTGGATGAGGCTGGCAGTTCTTGTTTTCACCAAGCTAATTTGCAGCTGACTCCACAGCCTTTCACCCGCTTGCTCCTATGAGCTCTCATGTGGCCTAATTGGAAGAGGCCCAGCAGGGGCTGTTCCAGTCTGCAGGACTCCCCACTCCCCCACTTGAGGTGGGATGGTGAGGCAGCATTTGTGCAGACATGCCACTATACCGTCTCCTGAAATACTGTTTTTCTCTTGCAGACCCAGCACTCTGTGTCTATTCAGCAGCCACAAGACAGATGCCAGATGTGCAGCTGCTGGTGAGTGACCGTTTTGGTCCAAAATAGGTGGCCAGGGGTGTTAAGCTGTATGGTTTAGGTCCCTGCTGCTAGTGTTAAGGTGATAGCTTGGTGTTCTCTGCTATGATAGGCCTTCAGCCTACTGAATGCCCAGGATCCCTTTACTCAGCAAGGGAACAGATGAGAGGACCTCTGAGCTAGGGACAGACATTCAAAAACCTGAGCCTGAATTGATTCAATTTTAACCTAGTTTAACCTGGCTAGGCTAAACCAGTTTGTAATCACACAGCCATTCCCTCTGAACTGCAGGCATATGCTTGTAGTGACTCAGGCTAGAAGCCGGGGGTGGGTATGCTAGAGTAGCCCTCCCTTCCCTTTCACAGTGCTGATTTGAGGGGGGGGGGTGTGGCCAGGCCCTGGCAGGATGCTCTGATTAGGGAGAGATGCCCACCTCTGATTAGGGAGAGGTGCCCCTCCTGTTGATAACAGAGCATTGACTTACACAGCAGGGAGTTACACAGGGAGTTCATAACAGCATTTATCAGCCCATCAAACAAAACAACAGCCTCTCTTATTATTTCAAGCATTTCTTAAACAACTTTTTCCAAGGAAGGAATGGATGGACATTACCAGCTACCTGTTGATTAGCTCCAAAAATCCCTAAGCCTAGACAGTCCTGTCTGACTTTGTCCGGTCTCCCACAGCACAGATCGTAGCCAGCACATGGTCTGCTAGCTAATGCTGAGAGGTGTCTGCGTAAGGCATGGGGGATGGGGGAGTGGTGAGGGGGAGGGAGGAGCAGGAGGAAGCCAGGGAGACATCACTGTACCTGCAGTCTCTGCTGGAGCTGCAGCCAGGGAGCAAAGGGGAGGGACCAGTTCTGCTGGGCTGGAGCAGAGAGCAGAGAGTCCTGCCCAAGGTTGCAAAGCAACTGGGATGCTGGTGGAGTCTCATTTAACTTAAACCAGGAAGGGATCTGGGACAGACATTGCATAAACTGGTTTGAGCCAAATCAGTTAAGTCTGACACTACATTCAACCAGGTTTATCTCAAACCGGTTTCAGCCATTTTCAAACTGGTTTATGTGCACTGAACATCTGTTCTGTTATAGGCTTAAACCAGATTCTGAACACTTCAACTGGTTTCTGTGTAATATCTGTCCATGTCTCTTGAGGTCCCTTCCAGACCTGTTTTTCTGTAATTTGATGTAAACAGATCTGATGAGTGCCCTGCCATCTAGTGACTGCATGTTAGAACCATGGGTGTTTCTAGGCCTGACGACTTGTAGTGTGAGATGTAGTCTTCTCCATACATTAACCTAACAAACTCCCTACCACTGTATTGGTCCCCCCTGCTCTTTCCTGTGGCCTGTTGCAACAGACTTTTTTTCATAGGGCGTCTTGTCACTGGCATGGAGCAGAGGTTAGAGCAAATGATCTTGTGGACCTTTTTGGAGTAGCAGTTGCTGAAAATGCAGGAGAATTGTCTCCATGGTCCAGGAGGCCCCTTCCAGACCTGTGTTTCTTCTAGTTCTCAGTCAACACTTTTCTTGTTCCTTATATTTGTGCACCCTATGGAAGTGGATGAAGTGGCATATTGAATTGTCCTGAATAACTCCTTTCCCTCTTTGGTCACTTCGTGAGGAGACAGTAAATATGGCATACGTGTAGCACTTGGTTGTTTTGGGCTATAAGTGAGAATTACCTTACTGGCTACTGTAGGGATCAATGTATTTCTTTCGAATGACCGTCTGCCTTATGATACCATAATCTCAACAAATATTGTGAGAATTAGTGTTTTCCCTCTCAAAATCCCAGCTTCAGCTGTAGGACTTAAGTAACTAAATGAGAATCTCAGTTTTCATTATAAAAATAACAAGCATCTTGTTCTTCTGGCTTCAGGGGAAAAGCTTGACAATGTGACCACGAGTAACTTTAATGGATCAAAAGCCCTTAAGAGAGAGAAATCTATTTCTGCTATAATCTCATGGATTTTTAAACTAATCTCACTATTTTTTGTGGGGCCTAGCTCGTAGTTCTTGAATGCATAGGGTTAGTGATACTGGCTCCTTAGCATAAATTAGGGGACATCTGGGAGGAATACTTGGTTATATTTTAACTTCAGAAAATAAGCATGGAAGGACGATAGGAATTCAGGCTGGGTTCTTCAGTGAAATGGTTTCCAATAGCAAAAATCTTCCACTTTGTCTTCCCTCACACAAAAGCGCCATAGCAATTTGAGTTTGCTATTGCCCTTGTGTCATTGAGCTAACCTTAGATTCAACTTAAGAGTGATTTCAAAGGATGCTATAGAAAATTAGAACCTTGGAAACATGGGACCGTATTGTTTCCTTGGCGCTTCTGAAAGCAAAACCGGAGGCTGAGTTAATGGGGAGAGGCAATTGTGACATGCTTTTTTTTCTAAGTGAATGCACTCAAACACGAGGAGGGAAATTTGCAATTTAAGGCTTACAGGAGAGCAAGGGGGCTCATATCTAAAGGTGATGGCCCAGGCTGTACCTTTGCACAGCCGGGCACAATATGGTGCCCTGTGAAAGGGTTTCCTCAAAGTGAGCTGAAAATGAGTGCACCGTTCTGCTCCTCCGAAAAGCACTGACAACAAGCTGAATTATCCACAAGCATCTGAAGAGCCGCATGCTTATACACTGCTGACTGTGGCTTTATAGTGTTGATGGAATTAGAAAGCACTCATTGCAAAATACCCCCTGAAAGCTCAAAATCAGGATGGAATTTGGTTCATTTTGCCTGATAAAAAATCCAGGAAGCTGCTGCACTCGTCTCTCATCTGCATGCAGTGAAAATTGGAAAAATCAGAGTTGAAGGGAGATACGTTTAGAAGTAAAAGACAGTTTTCCACTTAAAAGCTCTTGCACCCTGGTTCTGCAAGGTGCTTGCTTAAGCCCGGGTGTCTTTAGTTAGGCTGGAGCACATGTTTCGCTTTGTGCATGCATTTTAAATCATGCCCCTCAGTGCTTGCCAACACTAATGCATTAATGCTCACAGCCGGGCGAGGCAGGCGAGTGTTAGATAGATTGTGACTTCCTTGAATTCATTTGTTCAACAAAAGAAAACAAACAAAAAAAATTACTCGAGGAATTAATCATGAACCTTATTAATATTCAGTGCTTTGCATGTGAAATCCACGAGTCTCAAGATTTCCTTCTTTTATTGTTTTACATAGGTATAGATATTTAAAATGCTGGGTTGCCATAAAAGGTTGCTGCCTCAAATGGTGCTCTGTGAACATCTGGGGGTAGTAAAATTGGGTACCAAGATTGTGCCTGGGCAGCTTTGGAGACTGGATGGAAAAAAACTCATCTAAAATTTGAGGAAATGTTTGTGGTCCTTCTGTCAGTGCTTATCCTGCTCCAGGGATAAAAGGGAACCAAATTTTTCTGAGCCTCAGGGAAGGAAGGGCCAGCAATCTTGGGAATGCCCCAACACGTTTGAAAAGGACAGAATACTTCAGTGTGGGGATCAGTGTGTGTATCGTGTGTGGGTGTGTATGTGAAGGTGAGAAATCAAATTATTTTTCTTACAAAGCATACATGAAGCTGGCAGAGCTCTCGCAGTTCATATCCTATTCTGAAATATCTGCTTATGCAAGCTGGCCGGCTTGCAGTAGCCATGCATGATACAAAACCTGGATTCAATAAATGTTTTCTGAATTGACAGCGCCCCATATGTCCATCTGAAAATAAGTTGTTGGTTAATAAAACTTGATTTGCTGAATCATGCCATTGTGCTGACTGGCTGTGAATTGTTGTGACCTGAGGAGGTCTTGCCTATTTGAATTTAGAATGCTTTGGCATACTTTTGCTTCAGGCTCGGGAAAGATCGACAGCGGGATACGGCCCCAGCATCTTTAAAGGTGTTTTTTGTTGAGGACAATTGTTATTGTGAGAAATTCTGCTTCACTTGCAGTATGTTGCGTGCAGTCAAGGTCTAGGAGGAAAGTTATAGGCGGTAGTAAATCCCACCCACGTCTTTTTGTTAAGATTGCAGGCACATGTCAGTGGGTTGACTGCCTGCTACCTTTCAAAGTAACTTAGCTGGCTGATAACATGCTCTTCTGAGGCTGCAAAATATTTTGCAGTGCTCTAAAAATTCTCTTCTTCAAAAAAAACTTAGCTCTTTCTTTTTTGATAGCTAACTAGCTAGCTAGATAGGCAGACAGATAAACAGATAGATAGATCAAGCTAAATTTTTCACATTCCCTAAACGTAGACTTTAAGAACAATGCCAAAAGTCATGAGAGTTGGCAATACTGGGACTGTTACTGCAAGCATAGCGTTCAGGGCAGGTCTGGTTAGCACTAGGAAGTCCAATATTTGCCACTCTTTGTTGCATTGTTTCCCCTGGCTTTGCAGAAACCACCTTGAAAATGTGACACCTTGGGATGTTGCAGTAGTAAGCCTAGCTCTATCTATCTATCTATCTATCTAGTACTATAGTACTCAGAACTCTACAGACTGTTTGGACTGCTGAACCTTGCAGAGGGCTTGTCATGTGTGGAGTTGGTCTCTACCCCAAGGAGTCTGCAGTCCAAACGGATAAAAGGCAGTAGAGCAGGGGTGTCAAACTCATTTGTTCCCTTGGGCTGGATCTGGGTCACAGGACTCCTTGTGGGCTGACTATGGACCCACTTCCGGCTGTGTGGTTGGTGGTGGTGGCCTTAGCCTTCATGGGTGCCTGAGCTGCTGTGTCTGCTCAAGGGGCAGTGGGGCATAATGCTGCCATTGCTCACCCCACTAGTGCTGAAACAAGTCCCCAGTGGGGCTTCATACCAAGAAAGTCACTGGTGGGGTGAGTGACGGTAATGTCACTCAGTGATGACTTGCTGTATCAGCTCAGGAACCACAGAGCTTAATGCAACCGCTGCGGTGCTCACCCTACTGTCAAATACGTGGACTTTCCGGGAACCCGGTAGGCCAGAGAACTTGGCTTTGTGAGCTGTATGTGTAACCCCTCTGCAGGAGAGCATGGGGTTTCCTTAAGCAA